ACGATCAACTGCGGGCTTAGTTTATTCTTAGGGTAGACAGATTCTGTTAGGGATGGAATTTAACAATTTACTATTTAATTTCTAATTCTCTTAACTGCATCTTAAATGCTATTTCTCTTGATATGTCTGCTAATTCTATTTCTAATTTACATCAAGAAATTCTTACACTTAATAGTTTTAAACTGCATAACTTTTTTTATATATTATTTTTTATTTTACTTTATTTGGCTTAGTCACTATCAATCTTATTTCTACTATTTATAATACTTCTATTTCTTATTATATAGCTACCTCTTTTTCTATCAAATTTCTTTATCATTTAAACCAACAAATATATAAACAAATATAAATTCCATATTGTATTTCATATTTAGTACAGTCTTCAATTACATCTTCTACAAACTCAACTCATAATTTTCTTTTTAGTCTACTATTACCTTCTATTTCAATATTACAAATTATTACTAAAATTAATCTTTGGACTATCTAATGGATTAAATACTATACTTCTCTCTCATATATTATTACTAATATCCAAATCTAGATGAGCCTTAGTTACTCTTGTAAGTTTAGGTTGCATATTATATACCTGAGTCTTTATTCTTCATATGTAAATTAAAAGCAAGCTTTTCTTTAGAAAAATTTCAATTGAATTTTAATAAAGTTAAAGGCATGGCCTCACTGTTAATATTAAAAAAAATAAGAATAATTTAATAATATTTATTATAATAAAAAAATTTTTGGTATATAAACAAAAAAATACTAATAATAAAATAATAAATTCTTATTAAATATATATATTTACAAAACAGTATACAACTAAATAAATAATTTCTAATTTAAAATTTTAGTTAAATATCTTAATGCAAATTAAATTTTATATTAATGTTAGTCAAATAATATAATAATGCTAACTAGACAAATTTATTTTAAAATTATATTAAAAATCTTATATGAAATCTAAAAAAATTTTGCATGTTATATTCAATATTCTATGCAAATTATATATAAATTCTGCATATATCTATTTCTAATTATCAATAATAGTTTTTATTTAAGAAATTATATATTGTTATAGTTAATTGTATAGTTATTATTATATATGTAAAGTTCAAAAAAAGTGCTAAATTATTACTTAAAAATTAGTTATATTATATAACATTTCTTAATGTATTAGAAATAAAAATAATTTGCTACAAGACTAAAATAATTATTAAATAAAATTATAAAAAAAAATAAATAAAATTTTAATTATATAATATGTTACTATTTTATTTATTTTTGATCTTTTTATTTTTAAAATATAATTAAAAAAACATTATTAATTAATTATTTTTTCTTTTATATAATATAAATATAATATAAATAATTATAATTTACAAAAACTGTTCTAAACAAAAAAAGATCCTAATCTGTATTTTTTTAATATTAAGATAAAGTTATATTTTAAGTTTTTATTAATATATATTGTTATAACTTGTATAACTTTTTACATTTTATATTATTTATTATTCTATATATCTATTTAAAATACAGAACTTAAACATATTTATTTATAACTTAAACTTATCAAAGTTATTATATTGTATTTATTCATACTTTGATTTTTGTTTTATATATAATTATACATTTAGATCTTTATAATTATATTTTTTATAAATACTTTTACTATATAAATTCTTTCTAAATATATGTTTTGTTATAAATTTAAATATATAAAAATATAGTAAAAATTCTTTCTATAAATATGTATTTTTTCTAAATAAATATTTTTAATAAATTTTCTATAGTTCTGAGAAAATGCAATTATAAAAATCTGATTATATTAGGTAATCTATATATATTTTATGTATTTTATATCTTATTTTAACTAGTTCTAAATTAGTTTATCAAATTAGTTATTTCTTTTAAAAATATATATATTTTTTTTTTATTTTATTTTATTTTATTTTATTTTATTCTTTGGCAGCCTTGCCGGTCACCTTTATTAAGATTCTTGCATATACAACTTTGCATGAAGTTGGCTTAAATTTTGCCCAACACCCCTCGGCTGCTTCTAAGAGTGCCTAAGAGTGGTCTGCCACACTGGCTGGACAAAGATTAACAGCCAGTGGTGATATCAAATTTGCCAGTAAGGTCATACAATGGCCTCGAATTAAAAAAAATTTTATAAAGAGAACTATAATTGATCATCTAAGCTATGCTATGGTTGTGACTAACACTTGCAGTCAGGACTAAACCTTTAACCGCTAAGCTCTTGGTGACCTTTCCATTGGGTAGACTATATACTCTATCTAATTTACTTCTACAACACCCTCCTAGTTGTAACCTTTTTTTTCGATATTTCCATCCAAATACTTCTTTGCTTCATCTTTTTCTTTTCTTCTTTGCTCTTCCTAATCTTCCCTTTTCTTTTATCTTCTCTTGATCATTGGTTTTTTGATTGACATCTATTTTCTTCTGTCTCCAGCAGAGAGTGTTCTTTCATAATGATCCTTTTCTTATTACTTTTTTGTTTTTTGTTGATCGTTCTTCTTCCTCTTGTTCTCTAGGTTTTGCTTTTACTTGTAATAGGCCAAACTCTTGAGGTTTCTTTATCAGAATCTTTTGATTACTTCTTTCTACTTTCTCTTTTTCTGTTTGCAACTTATCTATGTACTTCTTTTTTTGCATCTACCAATCTGCATTAACGATTTTCTTTTTTCTTTTTTTCCATACCTTTTCAGCTTCTTGATCAAATAGCCTTTTATTACTTTTCTTATATATTCTTTCACTTGTAACCTTTTCTGTCTTGTTCTTAAACCTCAAGATAGCTATTTCCTCGATGTTCTTCCAGCTAATTTTCGGTCTTGATTCTTTCTTCAGCTTTTCTAGCACTTTTCATATTTTTTGTTTACTTTTATTTACAATCTGTTTCATCGTAATTTCTTTCTTTATCATTTGATGCATTGATTGCTATGCTTGGGCTCTTTTTTTTTCTTTTTTCTCTTTTCGAAGCCTGGCTTTTTCTTTTGTTAATGCTTTTTGAAATTTTGCAACAATTTCTTTCTTTATTGCATCTATATAGTGTTTTTGCTTTAGAGCACATATTTTTGTCATTCTGTTATTCTAACCTACTTCAAGTCTTCTTTCAAATTTTAATGTTGTCATACTTATTGGCCCATACTGTGTTTTAATTGAGTTTTTTATTTTACTTAGTGCACCATTTGCCTCTAATTCTACACATAGATTATGCACCTTCTTGAGTCTATCTAGTTCTTGTGT